CTGTTAGTTGTCTGTCATCTAGTCACAAGTGACTCATAGCTGACCTTCCAGCAAGTTTTCAGAGGGAGTTACAACAGGAGAGGAGACTGCCCATCTTTCTCCCACGGAGCAGCTGGTGGATTCCAACTGCAGGCCTTTGGGATGGCAGCACAACTCCTTACCCTCTAGGCCACGGGAGTTCCTTCTAGTTGTACTAGACCATTGTTGTTGTTATGTGCCATCGAGTCGTTTCCGACTCATAGCGACCCTATGCACAACAGCTCTAAACCCTGCTCTATCCTGCGCCAACCACACCGCCTCTGACACACCCATCCCGATTACCCCAGTCACCAAATCAATCCATCTCATAGAGGGTCTTCCCCTCCTGCGCTGGCCCTCCACCCTCCCAAGCATGATGTCCCTCTCCAAGGACCCATCCCTCCTGGCAACATGTCCAAAGTATGTCAGACGAAGCCCCAGAATCCTTGCCTCCAAGGAGCAGCTTGGTTTAATCCTCTCCAAGATGAATCTATTTGTTTTCCTGGCAGTCCATGGTACATTCAGTACCCTTCTCCAGCACCACAGCTCAAAAGCATCCACTCTCCTTCTGTCCTCCCTAGTCATTGTCCAACTCTCTGATGCATAACAAGCGATTGCAAATACCATGACCTGTATCAGGCGCACCTTAGTCTCCAGAGAGACACTGTTGCTCCTGAGTACCTTTGAGAGGTCCCTAACAGCAGACTTTCCCATCGCGATACGCTTTTTGATTTCCTGATTGCTGGTACCAAGAGTGTTGACTGTGGAGCCGAGCAAACTGAAACTGTGAACACTCTCAATCTCTTCGTCATCCATCCTGACGCTGCCAATTGGTCCAGTGGCGAGAATCTTTGTCTTCTTGACGTTGAGCCTAGACCATACATTCTACTAAAACCAAACTCAATGCCCTGTCAAATCCACTCAAAGTCCATTGCCTGAAGGACAGAGCAGGGATGTCCTATGCAGTTTGTGATGTAATCTTTACAGAAGCAAACTACCACATCTTTCTCCATCAAAAAACGATCAGGTTTAAACCTCCAATCTTCTAATTAGAAGCTAAACACTTAAACACTGCACGACCACGGTTCTGTCATGCATTTTCATGAGTTCTTAAATTATCGTCAGATGCAAATAGAATCCCGGAAGCCAGTCTCAGACAAAAATGCTGCGCAGTCGTCTTAAGTGACCCAATTGTGGCTTTCCTCCCTCCTTCCCTAGCCCCGTCACCAATCTTTCTGTTCTCCTATATGCCAGTCTTTCAGGATAAACTCTGGCCTTTGTTTTTCTGGTCAGCATGATCCAAACTTCTCCTTCACCTCGTCGAACAGACAAGTGGTGTGGTCAAGTCTCTCAAGGACCGATACCTGAGGCTAGGTGGTGAACGCCTGCATGCAGTCAGTGCTTCCTTCACCCTATTACTATTAGCTGGGCATCTATTAGTGCCATTGGAAGCAGGAGTGACATCCACTTCCTCAACATGTTTTCGGAAACTATGAACTTTGATAATGTTGATAATTGTAGAGGAGCTTCAGGCCTTTTGTTCATAGAGTCACTATGAGTCATGCTCAACTTGAAGGTAATCAACAACAACTATTATTACAAAGTGCTGTATCAGGACTGATGTGCCAAACAGTTCAAATTCTGTCTTCAGTGTCGTAGGGAAGGGAGAAGTACACAAGCAAAGGTGTGGTGTGACCAACAGGAGTAAACCCTAAGAAGAAAAACAAACCAGGAGCAGAAGATAAGAGTTCTATTGAGGAGTCTAGAAGGGAAATTATATCAAAATTAAAAAAGCCCCATGCAAGTGTAGCAAAGGATAGCTTCTGAATATTTTAAGACCAAACCCAAGCCCACTGCCTCAAGACTCTCTTAACTTACAGTGGCCCTGTGGGACTGAGCAGAGCTACTCATGTTTCCAAAGCTGTAAATCTTTGGCTTGTTTTTAATATTTTCATTGAGATATAATTTCTACATTTGGTTTGTACAATCCATTTAAAGTGCACGAGTCAATAATTTTAGAAATATTGACAGAGTTGTACAATAATCATCAGGACCAATTCTAGATTTTTTTTTATATTGGTTTGCACACAAAATTCTGATTGTTTCATATACATAGTTTCGACGCATTCCTTCACTCACCTTGCGTTTCACATGATCATTCCCACACATTGCGTTTTAGGAAATTAATCTATACGGAAGCAGACTGCCTCTTTCTCCCATGGAGCACCTGGTAAGTTTGAACTGCTGACCTTCTGCAAATGCCTTAACTATGGCACCATGAGAGTTCCTGGTTATTTTAAGTCCCTTAAAATATTCCCCCATAATTATCTTAAAATATAAACCCAAACTCTCTAGGGGAATACAGGTGATTCTTTACATATGGGAGTCTTTTTCCAAATCTAATTGGAAAGTGTTTCATCTGCCCTAAATAAACAAATGAAATTCTGTTGTTGCTGTTGTTATGCTATTGAGTCGCTAAGCTGTACAGAAAAGGCTGAAGTGAAATGGACAGAAACATATCCTTTTGTCAAAGGGCATTCTAGCCATCAAGAGAGAGCTCTCAAGGTCTAATCTGTCAGGAGTTCCACTGCTAACACGAAGGTGATGCCTTACCGATGGTTCATACCCACCAGCTGTTCCACAGCAGAAAGACGGGCACTCTCTGCTCTGAAAACTGCTGCAGGTTTGGTTAGGAGTCATGAGTGACCCAGCAAAACAATGTTTCCAAGAAGGTGGTAAGACACATAAATTTGACTTATAGAGAAGAAATCTGAATTTATTTTTTTTTAAATTCTTACTAAGGTTAGGGAAAATCCAAGATATTTCTAAGAGGAAAAAAACAAAACTTCTTTTAATAAAAGTATAAAGCCTGAGTTACTGAGAAGAGTAAAGTTGAAGACGGGGTAAATGACAAGATACCATCCCAAAACCACAAAAGCTTCCCTTTTTATTAATACTCCAGAAGTGACCCTTGAATGACATTGAATAATTGAGATACAAAATAAAACACCGGAATTGTATGGAGATTCTACGTAACCAGACACTTTCATAAGGATTTAATAATCTTAATTTGAGTATAAGGAAAACAATTGGTTCTTTGGCCTCAAAAACAAGTTCTGTGTTGCCATTATTGTTTCCAAGTGTTTTATATCTAACAGGAACAACTGTGGTCACCCAAGGTCATTGTAGTCAACAGCTTTCATGCAAGAGTATAAAGAGAGCTTTTAAATAATAACCTTTATAATAAAATACATTTACTTTTGAATTAACATACAGTCATTTTCTTCAATCAATAAAAATATACTTTGATTATAAAGCAGCCTTATTTTGCAAACAGATTTTGAGAAAATAGCTCTGGCAATCTTTGAAATGCCACATTTTTTAAAAGGCAACAAAGCAAAGGATTTAGATTAAAAACAGTATATTGCAAAATAGTTCAACATATTATTTCTAAGCACAAAGAGAGCTCCAATCTGAAAGATACTTTTAAAGTTATAAAGTAAAATGTTTCAGTATTCCTGTGGCAACATAAAGTCTAAATATTTACAATAAAAGACAAATCTTTTGCACAGACAGGACACAAAATTCAGTAGAGATCCACAACATAAGCGCTTCCATTATTACATCACTCAATTATGAAGCTTAGATTTGTTAACATGTACACAAGAAGGAAAATAAAAACATGACACAGTTGAGTAGCTTTATTAACAGGCTGAAACGCTGCAACTGGCAGAAAAATAAAAACGGCAAGTACACCACCAGTTTTATGACTAATAAGGCAAAAATTCAAGAAATCATAAACACATGAATTACTACGCTCTTCCTAACACATCTTATTTTGCTCTCTTCTCTTAAACACATATTTTTAAAATACTTTTCATATCCCAGGAGGAAATGGCAACAAACCCTCCGTAAAGATGAAAGTGCATCGTGGTTTAAAAGTGCTTCTTGAGTGTGGATGTTTATTTTAACAGGTAAGTCCAATGAGAAAGCTAAATAATTATGTGCAAAAAAATTCTAATTACAACTTGCATTCATTTTTTTTAAAGGTAAAAAAATCATGGGTTATTGCAGTCAGCCATTCAGATGAGGCAGAGAAGAAGCAGAGAAGAAAAATCTGGGTTTCCATGTGCTGTATAAAGGAAGGAGCACAGACCAAAGACAGAGACCCAGGTTCTATTTCCCAATTCTGACAACCAACCAGGTAAGTGACCCGGAAACAGAACAACAGCCTTAGACTTGCTTCTTCACGGCTGGGGACAGGCTGAGCTGGAGGGCCTCCAGGACGTCAGTCAGCCTGGAAATTTGAACATGTCTTTAGATGAGGCTTCCCTGAAAGAGCAAGTAATTTACAGGAAAAAAGTTTGAAAAGTCTAGTCATCTAGTTATTACTTATTCTCTTTTAGTATTTCTGAATAATAAAGCACTAAACAAGATGGAGAAACTCCCAAAATGCTTAACAGGAAAATGTCATGTGAATACCATGTGTTAATCAAAGCTGGCAAGAGCCTTTACAATGAAGGGCCCCACAAAACCCCCAGATCCTGTGCAAACACGACACAGAGCCAGCAGGATAATACCTCAGTGGGTCACCCTCTTAAGTAGCAGAGTTTTCTTGGGAATAAAGCTTTTACATTTTCTTATTGTTGAAGCATTTGAAGAGAATCAGGGTAGTCTAGTATTTCTGTTTGCACTCTCGGGGTCAGAAGTTATACTTGTAGATTTTTAAAGGATTCTCTCAAAATTGTTATAATGCTTTTGATGAAGATGACTGTATTTTTAAAATTTAAATAATGGCTAGATACAGTGAACCATTTCCCATGGACTTTAATTTATAGCCTATATGTTATGTATAGACTTATATGTACATACACATATATACATATTAGCCCTCATGTGTATGTAAATATATATATGTATATACATACATTATATACATATAATAGCAAACTAGAGCCCATTTAATATTTCAGAAGTTTAGCTCAACAATTCTCCTCCACAAGCTTTGACCCATTAATCCCCCGGTAGGTGACTCTGCTTGGCCGAACTAAGACGCCGTGGTTTGGTTTACAAGTGAAGTAGCGCTTGTCACCCACAGCACCATCGTTTTTCCCCTTGGCACTTCGAAGCTCCAGTCCAAGCCAGATGCCCGACGCGAAGTCCGTGGGGCCCAGGTACCTAACGGTTCCCATCTCGTTAGAACTGGTGAGGAGGACCTGGGAGCCCTCCTGCAGCTTCACGCTCCCTTCAATGGCCGTAGCTGTGCTGCTCCAACTACGACGCAAAGCGGTTTTGGATCTGTTCAGAGGGGAAAGGGGAAGAGAAATTCTTAGGTGACAAAGCCACATACACAGATTTTCACATTTGCGCCCACCAGGCCCAGAACGCACTGCTTTCATTCATAAGTGACCTCAAGAGCTTGACATTTGAGCTGGCTGTGCAAATCATGTCAAAAGGCTGCATTTCAAATACAGGAGACAAAAACCCTGAAGCAGGCATTCACTGTGGTCATGCAGACAGGAGCTGAAATAAGTCTCTAACAGTGGGAAGAAGATGTCGCGAGCTATGTGAGATAACAGATCAAAGACGGGATACAGGCAGTGAGAGAAAGGGTGTCTATCAGATCCTGTGATGTGCACGCTAAAACTTCAAGTTCACTTGCTTTATTACTCCCATCCTTGGCATTCACTGTACAGAGAATTCAGAAGCAGAAGAATTGCTTTCAGTCTCCTTTCTGACATTGTCAGCTCTGAATGAAATTCATTCATCACCACCATCTCAGTACATGATCCGGGGGGAAGAGGGAAGATCCTGTTCTTCAAAAAAATAGCATTGTAATCTGCTACTTCCCCTGTCCTTGGTTTCCTTAGACTCACATGTGACAAGCAAGTTCTACATCCCACATTCCAAGTCCTTCAGAGTCCTTGCCCAGGAATTTTCATCATCTCTGCCTATGTTTCTTCTGGAAGTACCACTTGCTTCCACCTGACCACAATCAGCTCTCTCCCTCAGCAGAAGGTCAGGGACACACTTTCTTTTGCCAGTCAGCACTTCAGAATCTTTTTTGCTCCTTAAGTAGCGATGTTTAAAACTAATCTATCAGCGCTAAAAATATGTTATCTTTTTAAAAACAAGTAGTGGTGTCAATCTGATTATTAATAAAGCTTATTTTCTCTTTATTTTTATAAAAAAATAAAGATAAAATCCTGATTTCTTTCCCTCCCTCATGCCAAGAAACCATCTCGGGCATAACCACATCTGCTGTATGATTCTAATGATCCAGAATTTTTTTTTCTCCTTTCCTGGTTAGCCTGGCGTGTCTCTCCTTAGCAATTTCTTCCATATTGCCTAAGAGTGCCTGAAAATCTTCAATAAATTGGGCCATAAAGTTACTGTCCTTAAAGCTTCTTGGCTATCCAAGCAGAGACCAACATCAAAAGTAAAGGCTTTGAGGAAGGTGTGTGGGGGTGGGAGAGAGATTCCTACAAAATCCTGAACAGTCTCTTAGGGGATGGCAGAATTTGGGTCTCTGTGACACCTGCCCATGATGTCATGGCAAATGACCACCAACGCTGCCTGTCAAACTCAGCTGCTCAGCAAGTTCAAGAGACTGGGCTCTAATTCTGAGGGGCTTCCAAGACCCCCACTCCTCCACCAAGCATCATTCATAGATTAATTGGAAAGATTTAAAAAATAATTCCTTGACCCCATTACTGTAGAAGAGTCTTGCATTGCTCTAAAAGCAAAAAGCTTTCAAAAGTCTCAGAAAATGGGAGGCCAAAGCAAACATGTAGGGAAAACAAGTAGATATTAAAAGGGGAGGGCAATTTTCTCCATAACAATCACCGGAAAAAAAGCTTCTTGAGTTGTCCACTCCTCACTTGTAATCTTTTTATGAAACATTTCACATTTTCCACAAGAGTCAAAAATATACTACTGTATCACTATGCGCGTAACAAAAGCCAGAATCCCTGTTGGAGGCGCTAATTGGTGGGTTCTGTGAGGACACAGAAAGAAAGCTCGTATTTCAGGCTGCTTCACCTCCCAAGATAGAGAGGGGGCCTGGTCCCTCTGATCACCAGGGTGCAGATAAGCAGAGAGGGGGCTGGAGCAGAACTGGTCGGGACCAGACTGCACAGCAGAGTCTGACTGACAGAGGCTAGGACCATGATGGCTAGTGTCCTGGAGGTGGTTCACCCTCAGGGCCACGGAGGAAGCAGGATCCCAGGATCTGCAGAGCGGCAGGGAGGAGACCCAAGATGGGGCAACCGAATGCCCAGGACCCAGAGGACACATCAGGCGACTAGCACCTGTGCAGCTGCTGATTTTCCTCAAAGCTCCCTCGTGGGCTGGCAAAGGTGAGGGTGAGACAGGCTGCTTTTGTGGGGATGGGATCAGCAGGATAGTGGCCATCAGCAGGTGCAGTTCAAGGTCAAGGGCAGAGGCAGGGCCTCTAGAGGAAGTTGTGGATTGTTAATTCCATGGTGGTGGAGAGGGGCAAGGCCGCCCAGTGAACAGCAGAGGATGCTCAGGGGAAGGACCAGTGAGGGGTAGACCCAGCAAGCAGCATGCACACCCCTTGTAGTGCCCAGGCCCTATTGTCCAAGGACAGAGAACCCTCAGCTCTCAGCAAAGCCGCCAACAGTGTTTGGGGGCCACTGTGGAGATGAGCTGAGGCCACCCATCTTGACAAGACAATGAGAACAAGAGAGAGAGAAAAGGGGACTCCTGAGATGGGAGTGACCCCTGGCTCTGAAAGACTAGGCACCCCACCTCCGCCTGACACCAGGGTTCAGTGACAGATGAACTCTTCAGTGATGATGGAGGGCAGGCAGGGGTGGCAGATGACCTTAGCACGGGCCTGGCAGCAGACAGTTCAGGTGAGGGGTCAGGTGAGATTGCCATCCCACACCTTCACACAGCATCAGTGTTCATATGGACCTGCTCTCTGGACCCTAACCACGCAGATAAGTGAGGAGGGCATGTTCTCCAGAAAGGACGTGCAAGCACGTTTACAAATAAGATTACATTATGCACACAGGAAAGGCTTACGTTTCTCTTATGTGGTATTAGTACTGCTAACAACATTAAATCAGACCTCGGACTATTAACTGAAAGGAAGAGTTTCTAAATCAATTCACCCTATTCAATAAGGCAAAATGTAAACAACCTCAACTTTGAACAGTACTAACCTCCCCAATTAGAAAAGATGTGCGGAACACTATTTTGGGTCACTTGTGACATTTTTAATTGCGCATGCAGAGGAGGGAGGAAGCACTCTTCTCAATACACTCACTCAATCACACCTTGTCTCCTAAGTGTTAAAAATCTACCGAGTAAGGTAAAAGATAAAGAAATTCCTCTTCCGTCAGATTCCTCAGTCATGTTCCTCTTGGAAGGTGTTTTTCGAAATCTTCTTAATACTCACTTGGCAAAAGCATTTCTTCTGTTAATCTCTTTTTGGGAAGAAGCAGAAGTTGTACTGAAACTTCTCCGAAAACCTAAATATAAATGTTAATATTAGAAGAAGAAAAATAGTCTCATAATATATAGTCTTTATTAAATACTATCTTTTTTGTCATTTTCCCCTGAGGCTTTTCAAATATATCAAATGTTCCTCCAGAAATAGAAAAAAAAAAACCAGTTAAGTATATAATTGCAGAATATATTTGCAGTTTAGATTTAATGATTAATTTTTTTATCCAAAATCTAAAGAATTCTTTACCTTTCTCATCAAACTATGTGCACATAGGAATAACATAGTAACATTAATTCTAGAGGTCTTATTTTACAATTTCTTGAAAACCAAGCAAAAGTGAACTACAATAGGGGGTGGGGGAGAGGGAGGAGAAAAATGTGTGATAATGAATAAATGAAATTAAAGAAAAAAAACCAACACCTGAATAACAAATAGATAAAGCTGGTTCTTTTAAAGGATGTTATTGTTTTAGGTGAACATTTACACAGTAAACTAGGTTCCCATTAACATTTTTATGCAATTTATTCCATGAAACACTGATCACATGTCAATATTCAACACTGGTCACACTACGCCAATATTCTCATTCATTATGTTCATTCTTTGTGTTGTTTCCATTAAACTACCTTCCCAGCCCCTCGCGAAGTTGTGATCTTCATTTTATGGTAGAACATGTTGACTGTTCTGCCTCATGAAGATGATATCATAAACCAATCTATTATATAGGTGAAAGGTGATTGCCGAGAGCAACTTCAGTTCCAAATTCAGAAGGTTACTTGAGTCTCTGGCCTCAGGAGCTCATCTGGTCTCTACAGGTTCAAAAGTTTCAAAAACTAGTATTTTAACTACTCATAACTATTCCTGATAAATCATGGCACAAATGGTTTTTAAGAAAACACTATCAATGTTTTTAAAAAACACTAAGAAAACTTAATCAATTAAAATTGTTGGCATTTTTCAAATGAAAAAGTTACTTTAAAAAACGATTAAAAAAAAAAAAAAGAAAAAAAAACGATTAAAAATATTTCCAAAAGTTAATTTTTTTAAGTTATATTTTTAAAAGGTAATGGGATTTCCATTTCTGAAGGTTATGACAAACCTCTGGAAATAGTCCACGGGATCAAAGGTTGGCTCTTTGATAATACGAAATCTCTAATGAGATTAAACAGGAATGTGAGTAAGACAGAGACGAGGCCAACAGAAAGAAGGAGAGGGTATATATATCAGCTGTTGGTATTAAATATGAAACACAGGATATTTGTAATAGACGTCTGCCAGTATATTTGTAAGTATAAATGAAATGGATAAATTCTTGGTTGGCAGAGGAACTATTAAAATTAACTCAAGAAGAAAGAGAAAAAGCCTAAGTCATTTCAAAATTATTAAAGAAACAGAATGAATCATGAAATAGAAAACAGATCCAGAAAAGTTCTACTGAAAAAACCATGGAAAAGAAGATGCCAAGCTTAAACAAATACATTCTAAAGATAAAAAAAACAAAGGTTGTGAAGCCCCCCAAGGACTATGATCCTTAGTGACCATTAAAGGACTGACAATCACTGTGACATTGAGACAAACACAGGCAGGCCTAGAGGGACATCAGTAGCACCCAGGAGGAATGCAGTGCTCGCAACAGTCAACACACAAGGGCCAGTGGGCAGCATGACCCAGGAAGGTCCAGGAAAGAAGGACGAATGGGAACAGGACACTGGGCAGAAGCAAGGAGAATGCGACTGCATGTATTCCAACTCTGGGCTTGAATGGTCACTAAGGATCATAGACCTTGGGGGGCTTCACCACCTTTGTTTTTTTTATCTTTAGAATGTAAGCTATTTTAAGAGAAAAATCCTAAGAGTATTATATTAGATGCAGACATAAAATAATTACATCAAATTCTATTAGTGAATTAAAAACAAGCAAGCAAAAAGTCTTAGCAAGGGAGGATCTATCTAATAAAGAGATCTATCTAGAATACTAAAGCATTATCTTACTACTAATAGTAAAATGCTGGAAGTATTCCCTAGAGAAAAAGATGTCTTCTTTTATGCCCCTCTGCTAATCTTGTGGCAAGCAGTAAAATAAGGGAAGGAAATGGGGGGCGGGGAGATCTGCCATTATTTGTAGATGATATAATCATCTGTGTTTTTAAAAGCATACACTAGAATTCAAAATAAATTACTGGAATAAGAGACTAGAAACTTGATTGGATTAAAGTCAATATTTAAAGACTGAACATAACACAACAGTGATAACCAGCCATGAAATGGAATTTTTTAATTATTCTGCCATGGTACTAAGGATCTTATAGCTAATGTCGGATGGATCGTGGCATCCAGAGGAATGTCTATCTGTGTTTCATTGACTATGCAAAGGCATTTAACTGTGTGGATCACAACAAATTGTGGCTGACTCTGAGAAGAATACCAGAACACTTGATTGTGTCTATGTGAAACCTATACTTAGACTAGGAGGCAGTCATCAGAACAGAAAAGAAAGGAAACACTGCATGGTTCAAAACTGGGAAGCATATGCATCAAGGATGTGTCCTGTCTCCATCTATTTTCAATCTATATGAGAAACAGATTATCCGGGAGGCTGGGCTCTATGAGAAGTGTGGCATCAGGATTGGAAGTAGACTCATTAACAATCTGTGTTATGCAGATGACAAAACACTGCTTGCTGAAACTGAGAAGGACCTGAAGCACTTGCTGTAGAAGGTCAAGGACTGCAGCCTTCAATATGGATTGAAGTCTAACATCAAGAAAACAAAGATTCTCACCACAGGGCTGACTGGCAGTACCATGACAGATGGTGAAGAGATTGAGACTGTTAACTGGATGAGTTTGCTTTGCTCTACAATCAATGTTCTTGGTACAAGCAGCCAGGAAATTAAAAGACAAATTGCATTAGGAAAGTCTGCTGTCAGAGACCTCTCCAAAGTACTGAAGAGCAATGTCAGTCTGGAGAATAAGGTGCACCTCATACAGGCCATGGTCTTTGCAATTACTCACTAAGCATCAGAAAGCTGGACAGTGACTAGGGTGGTGCCGGAGAACAGTACTGAATATAGCATGGACTTGTAGGAGAACAAACATGTTTGTCCTGGAGAGGGTGAAGCAAGGCTGCTCCTTGGAGGCAAGGATTCTGAAGCTCCATCTGACATACTTGGGGCATGTTTCAAGGCAGGATCAGGCCTTGGAGAGGGACATCATGCTTGGGAGGGTGGAGGGACAGCACAAAAGAGGAAGATCCTTAATGAAATGGATTGATTCAGTGATTGGGGTAATGATGGTAGGTATGTCAGAGACAGTAAGATTGGCACAGGACAGAGCAGGGTTTAGGGCTGTTGTACATAGGGTCACTAGGAGTCGCAAGTCACTCGAGGGCACATAACAACAACAACATTTATAATAACAGTTTGGAAGAAATATAGCATTGGTATGTATTACTTTCACAGAACTCAAAAGTCTCAAACTCACTGCCATCGAGTCAGTTCCAACCCATAGATAGCACCACTCCACTGGGCCTCCACGGTTGTAAACAGCAACAGATGGAGAATGCATCTCTTTCTCCGTTGGAGCTGCAGGTGGGTTTAAACCTCTGGAAATGTGTGATCTTTCAATTAGGAGCAGCTCCAAAACACCCCAAATCTTTATTTAAAGAGTATCTAAACAAATGGACAAATCCTTGGAAAGGAACAACACAGATGTCAAATTACCTCAAGTTCATCTACAAGTTCAATGCACTTTCAACAGAAATGTCACTAGAACTTTATGGAACTTAGCAGGTTGATCCCAAGTATGCATGAAAGAACAACAGCTATGAAAGGCTAAAGTGGCACTGAAGAATCATAACAAGGCATAGGCGTGAAGCTAGGGGAGACAGCATCTGAAGTCTACCAGATATCAAGATTTGCTAGAAGTCCATCCTAAATGTCTGTAGTTGTGTGCGGTCAAGATGGCACCAACTCACAGCTGACCTTCTAGGGGGCTTTCTGACGCACTAACTGCATGGGAGGAGATAGCTCATCTTTCTCCCACTGGGCTGCTGGTGGATTTGAACCATGTGCCTTTGGGTTAGCAGTGCAACTCCTTACCATTAAGTCACCAGACTACATTGAGGGATTTTTTTAAAAATAGATTATAAGAGCAGAAAGAGTCAGGAACGTAAGAGTTCTATATCATATAGATTCATAGCAATGCAGGCAATGCAGATCTGTGGACACCGAATAGAATTTTGACGAGTAGCTGCCCACATTGAGGAGAAAAAATTAGTTCCTTACCATACACAAGAATGAATTCCTGATAGACTGACTACTTAAATGTGAAAGATAAAACTCTTAACACTTTCAGAAGGCAATAATAAAAGATTATTTTTATGGTATTTTGTTGTTGTTAACGTGCCTTCAAATCGAGTACGACTCACAAAGACCCTATGAATGAAAGACCCATTTTAGAAAATTATTTAATAAAAAAATATGCAAACCTTAACAGAATGTTGCTGTTGTTGTTAGATGCCATTGAGTCCCTGGATGTGCTCACTAAGTTGTGCCAAGAAATGTGGAGGACAGCCAGCTGGCCAACTGACTGGAAAAGATCGATATTTGTTCCCATTCCAAAGAAAGGTGAGCCAACGGAGTGCAGAAATTATCGAACAATATCATTAATATCACATGCAAGCAAGATTCTGCTGAAAATTATCCAAAAACTTTGGAACAATATGTCAACACAGAACTGCCAGATGTGCAGGCTACATTTAGAAGAGGTCATGGTACTAGGGATATTATAGCTAATGTTAGAAGGATCTTGGCAGAAAGCAAAGAATGCCAGAAGAATGTGTATCTGTGCTTCATTGACTATTCAAAGGCTTCTGGCTGTGTGGATCACAACAAGCTATGGCTGACTCTGAGAAGAATGGGAATCCCAGAACATTTGATTGTGCTAATGCGAAACCTTTCCTTGGACCAAGAGGCAGTCATCAAAACAGAGCAAGGAGACTCTACATGGTTCAAACTCAAGAAGGGGGTCCATCAGGGATGTATTCTGTCTCCCTGCCTTTTCAATCTGTATGCAGAACAGATCATCTGAGACGCTGGGCTGTACGAAGAGTAATGTGGCATCAGGATTGGTGGAAGAGTCATCAACAACCTGTGTTATGCAGATGACACAACCCTACTTGCTGAAACTGAGGAGGACCTGAAGTGCTTGCTGCAGAAGGTCAAGGACTGCAGCCTCCTATATGGATTGAAGCTCAACATCAAGAAAACAAAGATTATCACCACTGGGTCAATTGGCAGCATCAGTATGGATGGTGAAGAGATTGAGATAAGCTCCACAATCAACACTCTTGGTAACAGCAGCCAGGAAATCAAGAGATTAATTGCATTGGGAAAGTCGGCTGTGAGGGACCTCTCAAGAGTACTGAAGAGCAACGATGTCAGGCTGGAGACTAAGGTGCGCCTGATCCAGGCTATAGTCTTTGCAATTACGTGCTATGCATCAGAGAGTTGGACAGTGAATAGGGTTGATGGAAAAAGAATTGATGCCTTTGAGCTGTGGTGCTGGAGAAGAGTGTCGAATATACCATGGACTGCTAGGAGAACAAACAGGTTTGTCCTGGAGAAGGTGAAGCCAGAATGTTCCTTGGAGTCAAGGATTCTGAAGCTTCATCTGACATACTTTGGGCATGTTGCAAGGAGGGACTGGTCCTTGGAGAGGGACATCATGTTTGGCAGAGTGAAGGGGCAGTGAAGGAGAGGAAGACCTTCAATGAGATGGATCAATTCTGTGACTGGAGCAGAGGGAATAAGTGCATTTGAGATGGCTAGGTTGGCACAGGATAGAACGGCTTTTAGGGCTTTTGTACATAGGATCGCTATGAGTCACAAACGACTCGATGGCACATAACAACAACAACATGACTCATATCAATCCTATGAACAGCAGATATGAACCTTGTCCTATTCCTGTGCCTTTCACACTTTCTGACACACAAGAGCCCATCAGCAATCATCTTGTCAATCCAGCTGGTTGCGGGTCTTCCTCTCCTTCAGCAATCATCTTGTCAATCCAGCTGGTTGCGGGTCTTCCTCTCCTTCGCCAACCCTCCACCCTTCTCAGCATCTTGTCCCTCTCCAAGGAATAGCACCTCCTAGCAATATGTGCAAAGTATGTGAGGTGAAGCCTCATCATCCTTGCCTCCAAAAAGCACTCTGGCTCCACCTTCGTCAAGACACACTTATTTGTTCTTTTGGCCAACTCAGTGCTATTCTCCAGCACCACAACTCACAAGTATCAATTCTTCTTCTGTCATCCCTATTCATTGTCCAGCTCTCAAGTAACCAGAAAACATTAATCAGATGCACCTTAGTCCTCCAACTGACATCATTACTCTTCAATAATTTGTAGAAGTTCCTAACTGCATACTTTTCCAATGATTTCCTGATTTCCTGACTGCTGATTTAAAGGGTGTTTATTGTAGATCCAACTAAGATGAAGTTGTTGGCCATTTCAATCATGTGTTTTTACTTTAAAAATTAAGAACTTAGATCCATCAATCTCACTGCTGTAGAGTCAGAACTGACTCGTAACTGACCCTTCTTTATGTTACTGAGGCTATAAATGACAAGGAGAGAGAAACTTGCCTGCCTTTCTTCCTAAGAATGGATGATGGCTTTGAACTTCCAGAGAGGTAAGGCTTGTTTCTACTTTTTAAAGTTATTTGAATAATGCTGTAATGAACATTGGTATGCAGTTTTGAACAACTTTATGTACACCAATTTTTTTGCCCAGTTTGTGGCCTTGCTTTTTTAAATCTTTTGATTGCTCTGCTAACTTTCTCCTGCCCACTCTACTGGGAGTGTGCACTGGACACAGCAGGCACTGTCCTGTTAGAAGAAAGGAATACAGTATTTCCTCTGTCTGGGAACCCTACAGCAACATTTGCACCTCAGCACCCAAACATCTACAGGATAGCTTTTAGCGGTAAAAAAAAAAAAAAAAATAGAACATAATCCAAATCCCCATCAGCCACCAAATAAATATTTCAACATAATACTAATAGAAAAATAACCGTCAGTCAAAACAAAACAGCTATTTTATGGAGATACACACACACACAGAGAGAGAGAGGTCTGGTGGCCAATCGTTATGAAGCTATGCTCCCAACTCAGAGGGGCCTCACCTTCCTGGTGGGTCGAATCCACCAGCAGCTCTGCAGGAGAAAGGCAAGCAAACTCCTTCCATGCAATTCTCAGCCTAAGAAACCCAGTGGAGGGTTAGCTCTGACTCATTATCAATGAGTTTGAATTTTTTTTTACACACACACAGATAAACATTGAAAATACATTAAGTGAGACTAGCTCAGGACAGGGAAGGGCTCAGAGCTGCTGTACGGAGGGTCACTATACATCGCCAGTGACTCAATGGCACATAACAACAATAACATACTATGACAGGTTTGGAAGTAGGAGTGGCATCCACTTCCTAAATAACATGCCTCTGGAAACTCTATGAACTTTGATAAACGTCAATAGTTGTAGAGGGGCTTCAGGCCTTTTGTTCATCGGGTCACTATGAGTCATGCTCGACTCGGAGGCAATCAACAACAAAAAATAATGACAAGTCCAAGATATAATAATTAATAAAAAGTTCACAGTCTGTGGATCTGAAGTATATAATATATGAAGAGTACATGAAGACAGAAGTAGATGACATTAAAGGGATTTATTCAAATGTTTCTACAGTCAGGTAAACCATTACTTTTAGCTGTGTGGTAGATAACAGATATTGGTCTTTATGATTACATGAACTATACAAATGATTTTTACACAATCTTAATATGCCGTATACTTCACAATAAAAATCTTCAAATGAATAAAAGCAAAGAAATAATTACTAGGCGCACAAATCTGTGTAATCTTACCAGGATAAGAGTGGTTCTGTTTATTCGATGAAATTTCTGAAAGTGTGTCCAGGGAATCTGTTATTCTAGGAATAAAGCAAATTATGGTACATTTCATTAGAACCAACAGCTGATCTTTAGATTTAAGATGAGTTCTCAATGGAATTTCTCACACCAACTGCTGTTTGTTATTTCATTCATTCAACAAATATTTCTCAAGCATTGAGCATACTGCTTATGAGCCAGGGAGGGGAGACATGCAATTATCCAATGGAAGAGGTGCTTGCTCTCCAGGGACCACTAACACGGAAAAAACCAACTTAAAGCAGTTCACTTAAAATTGAGATCTACTAATTATAAAAAAAATAATAATAAAAAAATAAAAAATTTAAAAAAAAAGAGGCTTTACGTTGGGCTATTATGTACACTCATGTATAAATCTTTGGTGGGTACATAATTATTTTTTTCTCTTAGTTTGTACATTTATTTTTATTGAATTGGAAATATAATAAATTACAAATGAAGTAAAAAAAAAATTGAAATCTACTTCCATTTCTGTGGAACTTTCTATTCAAGAGTAAAACTAAAAAATATGAAATTAGGTTTATTTTATATAATATCTTAAAAAAGGGAGATTTTTTAATTGTCAAAAAAATTGGGCTTGTTTATGCATGTTTGTGTATGCAAATGATTATTCTGATAAACCTTTAAGATTAACACAATTCGGTTAAAAACCACCTAGACAATATATTCTATTACATCTAATCTGATGGATGAAGTTTTCTTACAGTTTCTCCAAAGTAGCAATAATTGATTTATGGATTAACAGGATGTGTTAACTAAACAGATGAATGGTGGGTGGAGGCAGCTGGTTCTAGATTCTGGGACAGGGGTCACATTTTAAAAACAGATGGAAAGGGTGGGGGGAGAAAGCCCCACCAAACCTCAGAAAAGGCCTGCCAGTCTCCTGAAGACTGAGATGGATGGAAGAGGGAGATGCCCGGTGAATTGTGGCTGGTTCCTGTCCTGACACAGTCCCAAGTTTAAAGTGCCTCCATTTTAAAAGATCTGCGGTGTCTTTAAAGAGCTCCAATGCTCGTTTAGATTAGAAACTCTACCAAATCAGAGACCGTGTCTGTTTTATTTGCTTATAGAATGCCTCGCACAGCACAAAGTGCTAAAAGACACTTAATAGTATTTGATGATGATGAATGAGACAATCAGGAGATGACAGGAAGACAGCTGGATCGAGATAGCAGTTCATTTAGAGAAAGAGCCCTGTTTCCTTTAAGGGAGAAGAGAAGCTGCTTTTAAATGCGCCACCTTAAAGAAGATCAAATAGGAGCAGAGGCAGGGGAGGGAAGTAAAAAGGGTATGTGCCTTAAACAAAGAAAGTGGCTTCATAATATAAAAGAGAAGAAAAAAGCTATTCAAGTGTAAAATGCACTAAACTGGAATCTGTTTATTTGATCAATATTTACCATGCCTGCCATATGTGTGTTCCCTGGGTAATCAAACACGAAGAAAAGAACCTTAGCCCTCGTGACTGGGAGGCAAACAAAACTTCCCAAGAGACTGAGGAAATGTACTGATGAAGATTTGCTCCAATCTGAGAATATGGAAGGCTGTCTGGTGGCTCAGCATTGATTTTATTCTCAGATCCATCATTTATAAACTATAGATCCTAGAGAAATTCCACCAGGCCTCTTACTGATGACAGAGTAAGAGTTAAGGGCACATATCCTGTTACTGAAAACCTCATCTACTGCCTCTCAGCCAATTCTGACTCATGGCGACCCGCCTTAGAGTTTCTAAGACTATAAATCTTAACAGGAGCAAATCTGCCTTACATTTCTCTCTCTGAGCAGCTGGTGAATTAAAACTGCCAACCATCTGGCTAGCAGCCCAATATGTAACTCATTATGTCCTCAGGGTTGCTTGATACAAGTCTCAACTCTCCACTTGGCCAGGGTGCACATTTGCACAACTCTCGTTCCCTCTGTGTCTTGCTTGCTTCGTCTGTGAAACGTAGGGAATCACAGTATCCAACTCTAAATGGGTGTCTGTAGAGGATTAAGTGAGTACATACATGTTTGGGCATTTCTACTCTGTCGTCTAGGGTCGTTAGGAGTAGAATCATACCTATGAATGGACTCTCCACATAGGTGATTCTCATTGGCTATCATTTCTTTAGCGATGTTGTCAGGAGGGGCCAGTCCTTGGGAAAAGAAATGATGCTGGAAAAGGCGGAGGACGGTCAGCAAAAGAAAGGAAGACTCTCAATGAGATGGACTGACTAAGTGACTGTAACAGTGGGCGAGAGCAACTTAGAGATCATGAGGTGGTCCAGGACCCGGCAAAGCTCCGATCCCTGTTCGCAGGGCCGCTATGAATCACAGGCAATACGATGGCACCTGAGAGCAGCGACATTAACATCATTTCTTTCTTTTTTTCACTTAAGAAAAAAAAAGACCACTAGGAAGATCAAACTGTCTCAAAGATAGGCCTTTTTAAAAAAGCATTAAAATAAAACAATAAACTTGAGCCAATGAATCCTTTAGCCAGGTTACTTTATTACTTGAAACTTACTTCTTCATCTGCAAAATGGGAACGCTCATAAGATCTATCTACTTCTTTAAGGAGATCAGTGCAACATGCATCTAAAGTCCATCGTCCAGTACTTTCTACTTCTCTAGTGCTCAACACATGTTTATAACAGTTATTCATTAGTTTCCACCTTGTCTGACAAAATACTTACGTTCAACTGGACATTTTAGTAAATCTATTCTACAAATCTAGTCTACAGGAAAGGAATGTGTCAGGGATGTGTCCTAGCTCCATACCTTTTCAATCTATATGCAGAACAGATCATTCAGGAGGCCGGATTTCATAAGGAAAAATGTGGCATCAGGACTGGAGGAAGACTCACTTGTGTTATGCAAATATAACCTTGTTCGCTGAAACTGAGGAGAACCTGAAGCATCTGCTGCAGAAGGTCAAGGACTTCAATATGGATTGAAGCACAATATCAAGACAAAAAAAAAGATTCTCACCACTGGGCCAATTGGTAACACCGTGAAAGATGGAGAAGAGATTGAGATTATTAACAATTTCAGCTTGTTTGGCTCCACAATCAACACTCTTGGAATTAGCAGCCAGGAAATCAAAAGACAGATTATGTAAATCTGTCGTCAAAGACCTCTCCAGAGTGCTGAAGTGCAAAGATGTCAGTATAGAGAGTGAGGTATTTCTGTTCCAGGCCATAGTCTTTGCAATTACCTGTTATACATCAGAGAGCTGGAAAATTAATAAGGATGACAGAAGAAGAATTGATGACTTTGAGTTGTGGTTTTGGAGAACAATATTGAACTGGACTGTCATGGGAACAAACAGGTCAGTCCTGGAGAAGGTGAAACCAAGTTGCTCTCTAGAGGCAAGGATTCCGAAGCTCAGTCTCATATACTTTGGGCATGTTGCCAGGAGGTACTAGTCTTGGAAGGGTGGAGGGACAATGCAGAAGAGGAAGACCCTAGATGAGATGGATTGACATAGTGACTGGAGTAATAAGGGCAAGTGGGTCAGAGACAGAGAGATTGGCTCAGGATAGGGCAGGGTGCAGAATTATTGAACATAGGGTTGCTATCAGTGGCAGGCAACTCGATAGCACATAACAACACCGCCAACTCTACAAACTGCAAATCATTACATGTTAAATCTATAGTTCGTAAATATTAAAAGAATGACATCAAATATATGATAAACTAAAATGAATACAATAAGTCTACATGAAAAACAAGGGGAGGAAGAAAATGAAGATAAATCTGTCAAATTTGCCATTTTGATTGCAAAATATTTCATGAAAAAGAAAAACAAATAAATCAACTAGCCCAGATGTCCTAAAAAGAAAACAAAGATATAATATCAATGTGCAGAAATCTCTAAAGAGAAAACGCCAGAAGAAAATCCAAAATAGTACATATGAACAAAATTCCCTGGAATTTTTATTGTCAAGAACTTGAAGACTGTGACTGCAGATCCGTTCTAATAGACATAACTGCACCACCTATATTATTTTCAACAACTCTTATCCTCCATACACTGAAAAGCAGACCAAGGCAACTTTTCCCAGCATCTACGGGAGGGAAGTCATTTCCAGCAAGGGTACCTAGGATTTCACAAGGACTTGTTTCTGCTCAACTTATTTTTTTCAAACCAGAGTGAACTGGTCCAAACATATACGGTCTCAAGCAGAAACAGCGAGGAGGTATATTATATAGAAACCCTTGAAGCTTCACTTTCCCCTAAAGATCTACTGCCTATCTATTTTTGAAAACTAAAGAAATCAGAGGAAAAAGCCATTTTGGTTCCATTAGGTTTGTAGGAAAATGAATGGGGTGCCTGCTGGCAGGAGATTTAATGTAGTTAGGCTGTGACTGAGGCAATCAGAGAGCATTTTTACTTTTGTTTGCATGACAGATTAAGCTTGCTGCTTTCACTGTTCTTAGCTGCAAATGCCACTTCTAATAGCCTACACATACTCATAGGGTTTGCAAATGAGGGATAAAGGAGGTTTTTAAAATTGCAAATCCTCAGCAAAGCAAATTTAGCTTTCCATGAGCCTTCTCTCTGAAGAGGTGGTTGGTTAACCCCTTGAAAGAAGACGAGAGCTACAGTCAGTACAAGCATAACCACAAACCACAGCAAATTCGACAAGGTGTCTGTGAAAAATAAATTTCCTTTTTCTCACCTTTGCACTCTGGATGGAGGAGCAAATATCCCGTATCTTGGAGAACAACTGAAATACTGCACACCTCCAACAGAACCGTCGTTCTTGCCATGGGGTTTTTCCAGCTCAATGCCGTACCAATATCCTAGAACGTGAACATGAGGTTTTAAAGCATCTGCACCGTATCCAGCAATCCTGTGCTATTATACAGAAGCGAAGTCTAGATGGTGTGCCGTCTCACATATGACCCAAATGATGGAGGATCAACATCATCATTAGACTCTGAAATTATAAAACTATAAAATTAAAATTTGAATAGTGAACTGGACATACATTTTATGAGCTTAATTGCAGAGCGGCACATTAAGAGAGGAAAACAAAAGGAAAAGCACAAATTTAGCAAAGATTCACCATTATGCAGGTGGTATATGACCAAAATATATCTAAGAAGGACACCAATGCAAGAAGTGCCTTCCTTGATGTGGTAACGTGGCGTTCAAGTGATAGAAGTACAGCATGACACAGGGATTATAAAATGAATCCTATGCAACCTTGTCATTATCCCCTTCCAACACTTCCTGTTTTCTTTTTCACTGCCTTTGAGTCAGAACCAAATCATAGTTGACCTGCCAGTGGGTTTCCAACACTATAAACTGCACAGGAAGAGACTGTCAATCTTTCTTCGTCAGAGTGGCTGGTGGATTCAAACACGCAGAGGTCAGCAGGGCAATGCCCTAAACATCATCCCACCAGAGTGTCCGTCTGGCTGTACTGTTGTTGTTGTTGTTTTTGCTGTTGAGTGTCCTCAAGTCAGATCTGACCCACAGCTGACCCTCCAGCAGGTTTTCAGAGGCAGTAAATCTCATGGGAAGTGACTGCCCGTCCTTCTCCTGTGAAGCAGGTGGTAGATTTGAACTACATGCCTTTGAGATTGCAGCACAGCGTCTTAACCACTAGGCCACCAGAACTCTTTCAATGTTTGAACACCATAAAAAGTTCTTAATCATTAAAGAATGAGGATGATAGGGGGAAATACCACTAGACATTATGGTAGTTTTCTGCTTTTTATTTCAGGATGGAAAGAAAAAGGATATTTAACCAAAATAAAAATAAAAAATATCGAGGCTCCGAAAGTCTAGTGGTAAAAGTCACACTGTCAACTCTTACGCATTTGCTTCAAATTCACCAGCTATTGCTCCATGAGAGAAAAATGGGCAATTCCCTCCCTATTTAAAGTCTCCAAAACCTGCTGGCGGGTCAGTAGGAGTTGGTTCCAATTCGAATGGTACATCACAACAACAGTAAGAAGAATTTTCTAAAAAGGTTCTAAATCTTTAAAAGGATACACTCTGAGGAAAGCAACAGAAAGCCCTTTACTGTTGTTGTTAGGTACCATGGAGGCAGTTCCAACTCATAGTGACACAATGAGCAACAGAGTAAAACACCACCCAGTCCTGAACCTAAGGTGAGAATACTGAGGATACTTAAGGTTTAATACAGAAGCAGACGTGGCATCCACTTCCTAAACAACATGCCTCTGGAAACTCTACGAACTTTGATAAATGTCAATAGTTGTAGAGGGGCTTCAGGCCTTTTGTTCATAGGGTCGCTATGAGTCGTGCTCAACCCAAAGGCAATCAACAACATCCAGATATTAAGGGAGATCTAGTGGTCTAGTGGCAAGAAGCTGTGCTGCATTCCCAAAGGCTTGCAGTTCAAATCCACCAGCTGCACCATGGGAGAAGGATGGGCAATCTCCTCTCATGCGATTAACTGCCTCAGAAAATCCACTAGAGGGTCAGCTATGAGTTGGTTCCAATTTGACGGTATACAACAACAATAACATCAAGATATTTGGTAAGGGGAAGCATTTCTATAGTTTTCAATTCTGGAACTACAGGTGTGCCAAAACCAGTTAAAAATGCCGAACCTTCTTTTCAATCATTGTGATTTAAAAGAAAAGAAGCCATTGAATTTGGTCCTTTTTAATCAGTATGAAATAGAAAATAGGACTTGGAAACTGAAAAGTTTGTTGCAAATACAAAAATATTGGTCTCTATTAAGTTCAAAGAGTCAGATAATCTCTAAAATGCCAAACTAGACGTTGTTTTTCATTCCCCCCCCCCTTTTCCGAGCATTGCTGTAAAGGTTAAACCGACTAATGAATGACCTTTTATTTTTGCATAGTCCTGCTATATACAGGTACACAGCAGTATCTACAAACGGAGTGGTGAGCCAGCCTAATGTACTGTAAAACAGGCCATCACATTTCCGAATGTGGTAAGCCAGATTATTCTGGGAGGCACTGGTATTTCCCTGAGAGTCATAATTCTCATTTTCTTTCCTATGATGCTTCCTTTGATAATTGTTGCATTTTCACTTATCATATAGCTGGGGGTTTTTTTTATATATTTTACAATGACTCATGTCTTGGAATGGTGTAACAGAGCTGAGATACAGTGACAAGTGTACCAAAAGTAGCCACATGCAGAAGGGTAACAGTGAGGTAGAACCCACCTTCTCACTTAAATGTTCATTTTCTTCCAGGTAGCACTAATAAAAATACTAAATATTTCTTCCAGGTCTAAACCTTAGATTTTTTTTTCTAATGTAGACATTACTGTTCTGTAGAATTGTTTAATCTACATTTTGATGCACAGAAACACATGCTATGTTAAGAGTAGAATATTTTTAAAAATGTGCCAACTTTTATTTTATTTGACTGCTATTTCCAAAATTATTCAAAGCTTTCTATTTTAAAAATGAAGTCAACCTAAAAAGATAACTCATATCCTAGGAATCAAAGAATCCTAGTTTTGTTCCATTTAAGGGGGGGGTGGGGGTGGGAATGAACTCAAAAGGTCACTGAGAAAATTAACCTACCTTTGAAAGTCCAAATTTTAAGTACTACTGTTAAAAACATCCTGAGTGAATAATTTAAAAGTGATGTATGATAGGGTCTTATGGTTATCACAGGAGTCCACAATTAAGGTTGCATAGTGGAATGTACTTGGGGCGGTAGGAGGGGTGCAGGGGGATAGTGTACCAGGGAAGGAGTGTTTCTTTTACTTTTGAAAGAGAGGAGCAGTGTTAGTCAATAGGCCTTTTATTGTAAGAACTACCTTCCCTCTGTAACTTGATTTGTGCCACTATTAGAGCCTCTACTTGGAATATTAATGCTTTTTAATTTTTGACTCATGTACTTTTAACTTGTTAGTTAAATTTGTGTCTTCTAGGCCGCAACACTTCCATGATACATCTTCAAGGATATGAACATGTACGGCTAAGCACAACTGATAACAGTGCATCTAAATTCCAAAATCAATCTCCATAATAGTCTATGTGTTTCCTACTGCCAAAGGGGCCCTTTAGAGTAGTGAGAGAAGATTTTCACCCTGAAACCCACAGTGTCCCTTTTCAGCACGAAGTAGCTAAGAGAATACGCCATCCCCTTTTCCTTATGAATCAGGGTGAAGTCTCTCTCAGGGAGGAGTGATAGGGAATGGCAAGGGACACACTGACAAAGGAGATTAATCAGAACTGGCTTTGACAAGCACTATGGCAAATGGACAATTAAAACAGACTTTCAAGGGGGGAATAAGAAAGAAGAACAAACTGGGGAGGAGGGTAGAGAAAATAGTGCAACAATTAATGAATGAAAACCCAAAATCTCTGTAAATGTTCATTAAAATTAATAAAATTTAATAATTAAAAAAAAAGAAAGAGAGGAGCAAACTGGGGTGGGGGAGGGATGGGCAGGGAGAGAAGTGCAGCAATGAATGAATGGAAATCCAAAATCTCTGTAAATGCTCCTTAAAATTATTGAAAAAAAAGGAAAAGAAAAAAAAGCCATCCTAATTGACCTCACTCTATCAAGAGACCTAAGAGAAGCATGTATTATACAACACATGATTTCCTTCAAATCAGTTTTGTTAAATCACAACTTAAAGTGGCATTCATGAAACAAGAATATAGTAGGGACACTTGTCTATGGCACACTTGGGTTTCTGCATTTCTGGTGGGTTGAGGCACTGAGTGCTTCTGTTTTCTCATGGACGCTTGTTCTGGGAGAGACCTTGGAGGATATAGACCGTATCACCTTCCAGAACAAAACACAAGCATGCTTATTTTTCAGGATAAAAATACAGATTCCTTGAGCTTAGTGTTCCTCTCCTGTAACATCATTCACGTGGAGTGACCAGTGTCATGGGGTCCTCTTTGCATCGTTCTGCAGAATTGGGGATCAAGGAACCAGCACAAGAAAATGTAGATGCTCTGGCTCTTCCTGTTGCTTGCATTATAAAGTCCCTTATTCCTGACCCATGAATCTTTTCTCTTCAGCCAACATCCATGGTACTGTGACAGGCTACCCTGTTAGCCTGCAAACAGGGTAAGATCTTAGATCCTTTCAGTTCATGACAGAATGTTACAAACTTTTCTTGAGTGCATCATTTTTCCAGGTTATTCTTTCCTAAAATGTTACAATGCCCCCATGTGTCAAAATAGCATATTACTATTTAAAACACACAGACGATAGCTTCTTTCAGTTGGCTTCCAGTTGAAATTACCATCATTGGAAATGTAAACGAAAGATCATCTTTACTTCAAAAACACATCATTAAGTCTAAGTTGGAATGACTGTAATGACTATAAAAAAACCACAAACGTGTACATTTTAAGGTCCCAGGGTTAGTAAAAGCTTTTTCATTTTCCTTACCACTCCTTTTGTGCTTTTCTCTCCAAGCCACTCTGACAAAATAACATTTAATTTACTCATTATTGACTCATTTTCGAGATTTTACTTAGCAAAGAAAAACCTCTAACTCTAACACTTTCCTGTTGCTGAGGACATTCTGCAATGAATGGGGGTGCCCAAGAGCATGGCAGCTTTAACATTCAAACAACAATGAAAATTTAAGAGGGTGTAAAACCATCAACCAGAGTATAAGCAGTCTGAGTTGTAGTCATTGTTTTTCTAATTTTCTGTGCTGTATCTAAACAGTTATTTAAAATTCTGTATAATTAAATTTATTTACATATGAAATTGTACACCGCTTGTATTCTAGAGAATTTACAGCAAACATGGAATATTTGGGTACGATACCTGGAGCAAAGTTTGTTGTCCCAAAGAATCTAATGGTCCCAAGTCTCTGTCCTACCACCAACACTCTCTCTCCAAGACGGAGTTCTCCTTCACAGCTTGTATTATTTGCCATAGATGTTGCTGAAGAGTTTAAACCTGTTTAATTGGTTGGCAGGGAGCAAGGGACAAGGTAGGGAAAAGAGAGAGAAAACAAACAAGAAAAAATCTAAAAAACATATAAGCCAAGTCATCAATTTGCTGTTCAACTAGTCAAAATCAGTGGAAATTTCTAATATTGGCTGTCATTCCTTATTTACATCGCCTGCAGTTATATTTCTCACTCTGAGGTGAGGTTACTCAGAGCATACTGGAAGGGTTTCCTGAGAGGAAATCAGTGCCAAAGGTAAACAAGAGAATGAACACAACTTGATTCCTGGCAAAGCATGAACTCTACCAGGATTACCTGGCTCACTATGCGAGGAGTCAGCAATCTTTTTCTATGAAGGGCCGGAGAGTAAATACAGAGGGCTTTGTGGGCCATGCAGAGCCTGATCCAATGACTCAACTCTGCTGCTGTAATGCAAAATCACCACAGCAAAATATGTAAACAAATGGGCCTAGTGGTGTCCCATAAAATGTTATTCAAGAAATCCACTGTGAGGTGTAATTTTGCCTGTGGGTCATAGTTTGACGATCTGCATTCTAATAAAATGTCAGAATTGCAGTTATTCGCTGGCAGTCAGTGGGAACAAGACTGACAAGAATATGATTTGATGATACAATTGCTATCAAGTTCCGATTACTTCATCAGGAGCAAATGCACTCACTCTCCACTCATCTAGATTCAAACCTGAACCCTGAAACACACAGAAGAGGGTTGGGGAAAGCTGGTCATTGCTGCTGAGTGGATTCTCACTTAGTGATCCTGATCCTACAGAACAGAGCCACGCTACCCCATGAGGGCTCCAAGACCGGAATCTTTACAGAACATGTGCTTTGCTGGTCTAGTGGTCAAGGAGCTGTGCTGCCAACCTAAAGGCAAGCAGTTGAGATGCACTAGCTGCTCGGCAGGAGAAACACGGGCAATCTCATCCCAGGTGATTTAGAGCCTCTGAAAACAGGCTGGAGGCTTGTCTGTGAGTCAGCTCTGACTTGATGGCCCACGACAACAACAACAATCTTTAAGGAAGCAGATTGTCACGACTTTCCCCCATGAAGTGCCTGGTGAGTTCAAACCACTAACCTTTAGGTTATCAGCCACTGTACTACCAGGGACTCCTATACCATGAAACGCTAACTGCTAAGCAGCAGCCTTACTGGAGACACACTAGATACACCAGAAAGCCCTCGAACACAAAGGCTGTCACAGAAGCGGGGGCCCTGCGGCCTTCTCCCATTAGTGCACACAGATCTAAAGAGATGTCACTTGGGAAGGCCCAGAGGGCCCCAGGTGAAGGCATGGGATGGAAAATACGTTGCTCTGTGAAAAGAAAGAGAAACTAGAACACATGGAAACAAAGGAAGAAACAGAGACCCCCAGAGAAAGCACATGTGGATGACGAGCGGCACTAAAGAGCCACAGGTTCTTCCACTGACTGGCGTTCTCACAGCATCTCACAGCTCACAGTGCCATAATGACACATGGCGAGATGCAAACTCAGGTCTGCATTGAAGGCCCAGTGATGCTCACGGCTAGTAGGTGGTGCACCTACACTGAAACTCAGCCCTGGGAACAGGTGTCCTCCCGTTTGTCCCCAGGCTGTCTAGAGACTGTGGGGCAAACAAAGCAAGATCAACAAGGGGATAAGCAGAGGCTAAAGTGCTGAAGTGCGGGGAGCACAGGCTCTTCCCACCTGTCCATTCCCCCAGTCCTTCCTGTCTGCTACTCCCTCTCCTTAATCCGTTGTCCTCTCCTTAGTCTCTGCAGTTCACATCACCCTCAAATGCAAAAGTACAGAAAAGATACAATGCCTAATTCACTACATTTCTGAGGTTCCAAACATGGACTTTCTCTCACTCCTTACTGCTACTCACTCCCATGCCTGCTCCAGGATTTTTTCTTATTTTATCCATATACACAGATTCTCACCACTGGGCTGATTGGCAGCATCATGATAGATGCTGAAGAGACTAAGACTGTTAACAGCTTCAGTTTGCTTGGCTCCACAATCAACACTCTTGATACCAGCAGCCAGGAAATCAAAATATGAATTGCATTGGGAAAGTCAGCTGTCAGGGACTTCCCCAGAGTACTAAAGAGCAATGATGTCAGTCTGGAGACTAAGGTGTGCCTGATACAAGCCATAGTCTTTACAATTACTTGCTATGCATCAGAGAGTTGGACAATGATTAGGGATGATAGAAGGACAATTGATGCCCTTGAGCTTTGGTGCTGGAGAAGAGTGTTGAATGTACCATGGACTGCCAGGAGGACAGGCTTAGCCTAGAGAGGGTGAAACCAGATGCTCCTTGGAGGCAAGGATCCTGAGGCTTCATCTGACATACTTTGGTCATGTTGCAAGGAGAGACCAGTCCTTGGAGAGGGACATCATGCTTGGAAGGGTGGAGGCACAGAGAAAGAGAGGGAGACCATCGATGAGATGGACTGATACAGTAGGTGTGTCAGAGGCAGTAAAGTTGGCACAGGATAAAGCAGGGCTATTTTTTCAGGGCTACTGTACATAGAGCGCTATGAGTCACAGCATCTTGACAGCACATGACAACACCACCACCACATATACAATATTTGCTAGAAAACTGGTAAATACCAAAAAAAAAACCAAACAAAACTCAAGATCTCAAGCATAACTTAATACAAGTAGTAACTGTCTGCTTGGTGCACCTTTCTAATACTTTATCTAATTTTTTTTAAAAATCCTCAACTAGAAATTCAGCAGTATTTAAACATAATTTCCTCCTTCCCCAGCCTTTGGTAACCATTAATAAACCTTTATCTCAATGCACTTGTCAAATCTATTTATATTTCATATAAACAGACACTGTGCCCATGGACCAGTAGTTTCTTCCCTGAACCTCATCTTTCCTCTTCACAGAATAAGGACAATAATAGTACTTTATAAGATTGGAGGAGTTTGGAGTTTTTTAAAGAAAAGAACTTCCTAAAATCATATATATCAAGTACCTGACATAGTATCCGAAATAGTAAGTATATAATAAACACTAGTTACTATCATTAGGTTTATATAAGGAAAGAGATAATAAAGAGAGATAATACAATGTGATGGTTTCCAAGTGTCTGAGGATCTACCACAAAGTTCTATTATGACCTGTAAATAAATGGAGGCCTTAGATACCTGGGCAGTCGAGACAGGAAAGGGGGTGAGAGCATTTAGGAGAAGGAAGAGTAATCTAAGGCGCCTTTACAGAGGGTCAGGGGAGGATGGGATGGGACAGAGAAGCGCACAAGTAGCTCAATCTGACTGAAGTATAGAGATCCTTCTACACGTTGAAAAAGAGCAAACTACTTACAAACAAACCAAGACAAAAAACACCAAGAAAGCCTGGTAGGAAAAGCCATAGATACCAGCACTGGCTCGTGAGGAAACAGAAGAGCTTTTGCTCATTGTCTTCTTGCTACTGTTACTCCCACTCCGTTTCTTGAGGTAATTCTGCTTGTGATCCAAAGAGGACATGGAGGAGGAGCTGCTGACAGATCCCAGAGTCGTAGCTGGCACTGGAAAGGAAAGGAGTGTGTCAAAGGTGGGAGGGAGAGCAGCAGTGGATCAACAAGGTGCTCTGCCAGAAGAATCTTCCTGAACTTTCCATGCATCTCCCTCAGTTATGGATTGATCCACGTCAAATTAAATGCTTTATCTCGTCCAAATATATTTCACACATTAAAAATCTTACAAGGTTTCTGGGACTTTGCATTATAAGGTTTTAAGAGCGTCACCACATCGATTATAGTTGACTGCCTTGCACAAATCATCGCTGTCTCCCACCCACTCATTTGAGATGAGAGAGTACAATTCATTTATTCGCAAAAATGCTGTTATTATAGCTTACTAGTAAAGTATCTTGAGCTAGACATGAAGGCAAGCAAGCACCTTGTGAATTTTCTCCTTGTACTCTGTTCACCTTAATAATAGGATAGTTACAGGGAACTTAAACATTTTGCCAATAAGCTATACCATGGCATTTCCTTTTATGCGCCCTTTCCATCTAGTCCAGCAGTTCTCAGACTGACATATACATAAGTATCACAATAAAGGAATAGATTTTCTTAAAAATCTGTGTATATTTTCAGTTGCATAAGGGATTTTCAGAGGTTCTTTTTACCAGAATGCCCCTTTCCTTACTGATGTTAAAGGCTAACTTCCCACATAAGCTGCTGTTCTAATACATCATTTTAAACTGCATCAGTAAATTCACATTTAGCAAAATGAAAGCAATCTACGATCTTACCATCCTTCCCTGTCACAGGTTTTGATTCTTCACCAGGAGGTAAGGAGGGTGTGGATTCGGAAGCACTATCCTTTTTTGATGGCATTAATCCTAGAATGCAAAAACACACTACTTGCAATAAGAGTATTTTTTTAACATTAATTTTTTTAAATGTGCTTGTTTGCTAAGCTACAGGTGTTCTTCAAGTACCTAAATATCACCCGTAACTAGAAACATGATGTATAACAAATTCACTTGGCAGCAGAGCTAGTATTGCATTATTTAAATTGGGAAAGACCAAAGAATGCATTCTTAGTGTGATGTCATATGAAAACCCCAATCAATTTCCCCAAAGACCACTAGAATATCTTAAACCTAAGCAACAAAAGGCTTCTAAATAACATAAAGTGTTGACAACTATGCCCCAGTTGTTTGATACGTAAAGCACGCACTAACACATCTGCACAATGGGACCAGGGACAGCAAACCTATCTCATAGGACACAACTGGCACAAACTCACCAGGATTTGCAAGTAACTTCTACGATTGCATTGTTGTGTGCATGCAAGCTCATTTCAACAGATTTTTCATTTTGATAGTGAATTCTGGATAATTTTTTTTTTTTGCAGAGTGTTGTAAAGATTACTCATATAAGTGAGAGCTCAGATAGCAAGAAATCCTACATTCTTTGCCACCAGTATTCTGCCAGTCCTTAGAGAAGGACGTCATGTTTGGGAGGGTTGAGGGACAGCACAGGAGAGAAAGACCCTCTATGAGGTGGATTGATTCAGTGACTGGGGGAATGGGGATGGGCGTGTCAGAGACAATAAGATTGGCACAGGATAGAGCAGGGTTTAGGGCTGTTGT